CAACTCCAGCCGACCCGCCACCCCCGCAGCAGCGAGTGGTTGCTACAGCGAGCAGCATGGATGAGACACTGAGCCGTCGGCATGGAAACGGCAGAGGCAGAAGCATCTCTCGCAATGAGCGTCGCCTGTACAGGCGCACGTTTGCTCAGCCTTTATAAAACAATAGTGCAGCATCGAGCCCCCCACCACCCGACCTGAAACCACCCACTCGGCATTTTCCTCTTCAAATCTCTCACAATCTAACCCAGGCTTCACCTCCCCCCCCCCCGTGCCTCCGCCGCCGCAGCAACCCTCCTATGAATTTTAAAGAACCATTTTCTGTCAGTGTCGATAGCCGTAAATGGACTATAAAACCAACGAGCCAAATGGAAATCGCCATCATAGGGGCAAGAGGGTGCCGCCGCCGCTGCCGACGCCTCCACCGCTACCGTCGCCGCTACCGCTACCAGAATTGTCACCATTTTCGGACCACCACCACCACCGTCGCCGCCGCCACATTCCCTGCAGCTGCTGCTACCAATATCAGCATTGCTACCCCGGCGATGGCTTAACGCGTCGGCGTCGCTGGTAGAGCGTGCGGCAGCGCGGAGCTACGTGAATGAGACGGTACAGAGCGGATAACTACACACGGTAATGGAGAGAGCGTGCATGGTCGCTCCTCCTTCACGATCTCATTCACCAGCCGATGACGCTGAAACACACGAAACATGCCAGGTAACGTTATTCATTCGATACCGGAACGAATTATTATTATTATTATTATTATTAAATCTTTATTGCATGTAATTCAGATACAAATACATGTACTGACAAGTTTTTTTCATGGAAAAAAAATCTGATAAATGCTATAGTGTTGAGTAGTTAAGAAAAGAAGGGGGAGAGATAGCGAGGGAGGGAGAGAGAGATGGGTCAGAGAAAAGGGAGAGGGAGAGAGAAAGGGGGGGCAGAGATAACAGAGAGAAAGAGAGGGAAATGAGTGAGCGAGAAGGGAGAGGGAGAGAGAAAGGGGGCAGAGATAACAGAGAGAAAGAGAGGGAAATGAGTGAGAGAGAAGGGAGGAGAGAGAGAGAGAGGGAGGGAGAAGGAGAGAGAGAGAGGGGGGAGAAGGAGAGAGAGAGAGAGAGAGAGAGAGAGAGAGAGAGAGAGAGAGAGAGAGAGAGGAGGGAGAGATACAGTGACATAGAGAGAACCACTGATTACAGTCCCAGCCAACCTTTATCAGCGGCAGATCGTCAACCTTCTGCGATACATCGACAACCTTGAAGTGAGTCTCTGAACCTGAAAGAAGGACCGTTGTCAGTTCAGTGGCGCCCCCTGGTGGCGACAGCATGTGCCCGAACAAACACAAGAAACGCTATAATACAAACAAACCACTGAAAAAACAAAATCCTAAATCTGTTATACAAAAACAAGCTGATGAATGCAGTGCGCTGTCCACTAGTCACACTCCACTATAGTACAGCTAAACACAGTTTAAGAAAACACATACGCGGTGGAACACAGTGAAAGAAAACACTCATTCACTGCTATAGTACAGCTAAACACAGTGTAAAAAACACATACCCAGTAGAACACGGTGAAAGAAAACACTAATTCAACGCTATATACAGCTAAACACAGTGTAAAAAAACACATACCCAGTGGAACACAGTGCATGTGACTTTCGTTGATGACGTCCAAGTATGCTGGCTGGAACAGAAGAAACCGCGTATCTTGTTAGAGCGCATACACTCGCACAACAATGTGTTACAGCCGTCACGATGACGATGATGATGGCAATAATTATGATCCCAACGATAAGGGCGACGATGATGATGGCAATAATTATGATCCCAACGATAAGGGCGACGATGATGATGGCAATAATGATGATAAAATAATGGCGACGACGACGATGGCACGGAAAACGATGAGAATAAAGAAGACCTTGACAATGATGGCGATAATGACGACGACAACAAAACTAACGACAAGGACGATAAATAACATTGACGACGATGATGACAGCAAGAGTAGCAATGCTAGACGCATATGAAATCTATGGTGACATTGCCACAAAGCGAATTAAACAGTTGCATAGGAGGAAAAAAACGCATCCGGACAATAGTGAATATCGCCGATAAACAGAAAGCTGACGCCATGCCGCCACCAGCAACAAACACTGTGGCAGCGAAGGCAACAACAACAGACAATGTAAGATAATTGTGTATTCATTCGACGAGATATACAGAGATAGCGCAGCGCCCTGCCCCCAACCCCGTGAAGCCAAACTCGTTGGCCAAATAGATACCATCTTCTCCACATCTCCCCTTCACTCGCTCGCGCCATTCCTCTGACCCTACCCGTACCACCAGCGCAAAACGTCTTCTTCATCGTTACGGGGACGGATAGGAGCGCGGTTCGAACAGACGATCGCGATCAATTCTACAAATGGACTCGCGGGAATCAATTTCCTTGCTGGCCGTCGAAAGTCCGGCACGAGCTCCACCGCACGACCACCCGACGCGCGCGCTCGCGTAAACTAATGTGGCGGGAAGGATGAGGAGTGCGCAGCATCCCTGTACGGATGCCACATCGTAGCGAGGGGATAGTACAGGGGGCAGCTGCTGGTTTGAGAACTGCAGATGCCCAGCTTGCTCACTCTCGAGTGCTTGCTTCGTTCATGAGATAGCTACTGCTGGAGACGCGATTCATACTCGGTCAGTCACAGACAGCAGGTGTTTACAGTAATGGTAGGAATCGCTCTCCCCATTTCTCTCACGCACCCTGCCTGTCTGTCTGTCTGGCTAGCTGGCTTGCTGTCTGGCTGGCTGTCCGTCCGTCCGTCCGTTCGTCCGTCCGTTCGTCCGTTCATCCGTCCGTCGCTCACTCCCCCTCTCCCTCTCTTTTCTTTTTTCTCTCTTCTCTCCTCTGGTCGACAGACAGGTGCATTATTCACGCTATCAGGTGGGAAAACGTGGCAGACTCTCGAGTGCCGATTCATTATACTCCCTCGCCGCTCGTCGTTTGATTTTACATTAATTAGTCCGAAAGCTCTATTCCGATTGCGATTCTCACGCCACTGAAGCTCGACTCCCCCCATCACCCGTATTCAATTCATCGCCATGGTTCGAGTGCCCCCTATGCAGGGAAAAAATGACTTTTTTTTCGCGGGAGCTCTTTTTCAAAAGTCTGTGGAACAAATAGCTCTCGCCAAAAATTTTACGGGAGCTATTTTGAGCCTCACGGGAGGGACTTCGGAGGTTTGAAGAGCGAATCGCTCATCGCTCCCGTGTATTTTTTACCCTGCTTCTAGGTCTGTATAACAAACCATTTAGCAGGGCTGGTCAGCTTATTCGGCTGATGCAGGTTATATATAGTTGTTAGCTAGAAGTGAGAGAAGTTAGTGCATCAGATAGGCCCTTACTGGTTGTTGTTGTTGTTGTTGTTGTTATTTTTGTTGTTTTGTTGTTGTTGTTGTTGTTGTTGTTATTATTTTATTATTGATGTTACTGTTGTCGTTAATGATAATGCTGCTATTATTATTAGCAGGAGTAATATAACTTTTACTCTTCTTGTTATTATTATTATCATAATCATCAACATTACTACTACTTATTTTAATTGTTTGTATTGCTGTTGTCTCGCGCTTGCTGGTGTCATGGAAGACGTCTCTGAGGGGAAGTCAACATGAGAGCCTGCGGGTAGTGACGGATGCTGCATGCCTGCTGCACATAACCACGATAACATCACTCGCCGCGTCGCCATGGCGATGTTACGTGCACACAATCGTGGCTGATAATATCCGCCCGCCTGCCTCCTAGTGCGGCAGATACGTGAAATAATTGTGCATTTTGTGGTAAAAGCACCAAATTTGGTACAGACATTGCTTAATATATAATTAATAAATTTAGATATTATGCCAAGCTCATTTTTTTTTTCTGGGGCCCACAAATAGCAAAATCCCCGAAAAACGTGGTTTATGATGGTATATTACCTTGTTGATGTGCTGTAATGTTGGATTTAATCATACAATTGACCATTTGATTAGTTATGGTGAATTTAATTGGATTCAGCGTGTATGTTGGATTATTGTTGCTTAGCAATATCCTACATAATTTTTGATACTTCAATTCTGTTCCTCACATGTGAAAACCTAGGTGTAGACACCAAATTCATCGCCCCAGCTTGATTCTATCAAAAGTTATTGCTGATTTCCCATTTGGCCGATTAGGCACGGCGGCCATCTTGGATTTACGCAAATAAGTGAATTTTATCAACTCGTTTGTGGTTGGAATGGATTCAGCATGTATGAAAACATGGAAAATGACACTTTATTCATGTTTGCACGACATTTTGTCACAAAGATATGTCATTTTTAAGATATTCCGGAATCGGATGGCGGCCATCTTATTAAAAACAAACGCAACAACTCTTCCGTAGTGTTTACGTGCGCGTGTGCGTGTGCGTGCGTGAGTGCGTGCGCGTAAGTGTTTATACATACACATTCCTTTTTCGGGGAGATATATGAAAATTACAAATAATAATACTACTATGCGTTTTATTAGATCAGTCTTCAAACATATAATTCTTCACAAATGCTATTAAATTTACACGATTGTATAACGGTCACACATTAGGTAGAGTAATACTCATTAGAAATACAAAAATATCACCATCAGGTTATATAACGTAAGATGTGTCACG